TGTGAATTGTTAAATGCATTTTCTTTCCCCAAAACGGTTGTGGGGAAAAGGAAACCATAAATTTGCACTCTCTTTTTCTTTCCTTTCTGCTTACCATCCTAGGGTACCAATAAACACTTTTCATTTCCTCTCTTTTCTATACACAATTTTCTAAAACCTGTAGCTTTTCTCACCTGTTTACCTAAGGTCAATCCTAATGCCTTTTACTTTACAAGCACATGTCCTTAGTGGGAGTGCCCCTCCCTCTTCGAGCATGTTGCTTTATACACTCTACAGTTTAACATACTGAAATCCATTTGCTTAAACAAAACAAACTTGTACTTTTCTTTTCTAAGCCCCCGGAGGGGATTTTTTATTGATTTTCTAAACACTACAAAAACTAGAACAGAAGAAAGGGAAAGCTACATATAAGGGAGAAAGTAAAGAACCCACTACTAACTAAAAACCCAAGAGAGGAGATCTCCAACTAGCTTTTTATACTTCAGACTTTTCATCTTTGTACTTCTTATGAACTGTGTCAATCTTTTAACCATCCCCAGTTACATTTAATTGCCCAATAACAGTGCCCCCCATCATCCTCTAGAACCAAAGGCACAATTCAGAGTCCTTCAGCCTTTACTTCTTCTTCTCTCTCTTCCGCAGTTTGTAGGAACTTTTCGGGGCTGATGCCCCCTGCTCAGACAGAGTCCTCACCAGACGAACCAGTTTCCAGCTCTCCACTGGACTTATCGTCCTCTTCTTTTTTCTCGTCCTCTGGCCTTCCCAGCTGCTCCTTTAGAAACTCTTGAGCTTTAAGAACAGAGTCAATCTTGACCTTCTTCTCCTTGATCTTGAATATTACTCCTTCTGGAAACAGCCATTTATATCCAATTGAGTTTGTTTGGAGGAAAAACACAAGTTCTTTGTATTTCTTTCTGCGTTGTCTTACTTCAAATGGAATATCCTTTAGCGTTCTGACAGCATTCTCCCCCACCTTCAGGGGTGTCGCAGCAACTGCTTTCAGGATAGCATCCCTGACGTGCCTCTTCGAGAATCTTACTACAATTTCCCCAGGCAGATTATTTTTCTTTATGTATCCTGAATATGACCAGTAGGCCACATCCATGTCATGCAGCATCTGATCTTCCAAAGATACAGTTTTCTTTTCCAATTTTTGCACTTTTTTCCTCACTATCTGCGTTGTCTCAGCCATTTCCTTTACTTTCTCAGCATCCTGCTTCATTACTTGAATCAAATCCGTTATTTGCGTTTGTTGAGCAGTAATGCTTGTTGTCACAACTTGCAGCTGCTTTTGTTGTACAGTAATATTCGCTGTTACCACAGACATCTGTTCTTTAAAGACATTGAGCTGTTCCAGCAGAGGGCGCATGACCTCTGTCATCGCCTTTGTCATCTCACTGGTCGTTTCCGGCACCTTCGGGGACTCTAGTTTCGCTTTTAAACATTTCTCTTTGTCTCTGTTCCTCTTCCCCGCCATCTTTTTCTCGTTTGTTTGCTTTCGCAATAAATTTTAAAGTCTCTGAATATACGCTTATATGTATAGCTCGATGAATGAGTACTTCTGGGCAATTTCTTGTTTATTCTTCCACTCCCTCCCCTTTCGCTCAACGATTTATGGACATGGGAGGCGTCCCTCCCACCACTCGCTTCTGCCGTTTCGCCGCTTCAAGTAAGGAGTGTCTTTTCGTTTAAAAATCAGTTCTCATTTGACTCACATTCATAGTTGGTCTTCCGACCCCTCTTCATTCATCATTTCAAACGCCTGATCTCATGAACTTGATCCGGCTAGCTTCACTTGTACCATCAGGTCTCTCGGCTGGATGGACCACTGGAGCAAGGGGGAGCCTCGATTCCCTGGCATTCGGCCAGAGAAGAGGCTACCCCCTCAAAGCTCCTTGGCCAGGTGCCCTTCCCCGGGCTCCTGGGGGGGGGTTACGAGCCTGCTCACCCCCTCCGTTCACCAGAGCACGGAGACACCCCCGGGAGGTCCGGGAGGTGAGTCCGTGAGCGTGCCGCCATCAACTGGAAGTCTCCAAACTTGCACTTTTCCACCAAATGTTGGTTGTATTCTTAATCGCACCCCAACAACCCTGCCTTTTCCCTTGGCAGCTCAAGTCTGTCCTAACAGGGACTGCATTTATGAACTCCCCACAGCCCCTCCAGTGACATGGGATATTGCTTTTTAGTATAATCTGTTGTGCCAGGGACTTTCAAGGGAAGAACTCTATTTCCTGATGAACCCCACACCCCAGAATCAAAGTCCTTCTCTGCCTCTTCTGATAGGCTACACAACTTTACCCCCACTTGATTTTGCTCACAAATGATTACCATCCCCAATTTTCCTAACAAGTCCCTACCTGCCAGGTTTGTTCCTGCATCTGGAACATAAACAAAATCACATAGGTGTCCTGGACTGTTGGGACTGAGCTTGACCAGCAGAAGTCTAAACGCTGGAGCGAAAATAAAAATTTTCTCCACTCCGTGGGCTTTTATGCAATTCATAGTTAAATTACTTTCTTCAGGTTGGTAGTTTAATGTAGACCTCCCTGTCCACGTATCCACTAAAAATACCACCTCCTCTCTTTTCTAGTCCTACCAAAAGATTTATCCAGGGCTCCTGAGCAGCAGGACCTAGAAAAAGAGGAAGCCCCTGACCCCCCTAGTCCTCAAAGGCTATCAAGTTTCTGATATGTCAGGCTTTGAGTTCTGTTTGCATTGTTTTCTAACTCTGTAATCCTAGTCTGTATTTTATGTACTGACTGTGAGCTGCCCTGAGCCTGTATTGTGGGGAAGGCGGGTATAAATGCAATTAATAAATAAATAGTCCTATTACATTGTATACTGGATATTTAATGTTGTCTGATTTGGGTTTTTTATCGTTTGTAAGCCACCTTGAGTGTAGGTGAGAAAAATGCAAGATGAATGAAGTCCAGCAGTTGTTAATTATGCTGAATCATGTATAGAAATCAACAGTGGGTACTGAAAAGTGCTTGAAGAACAATTGCAACGCTTGTATACTGTACAATGGCCCTGGTCATACGGGCCGGAAAACGCGAGGCGGAAGCGCGGCTATTTGCGCCGTCGCATTCTGATGCGCTATTATGCGATCAGACAGAATGGCAGCTTCCCCGTAGCAAAAAGGACGGGGGAGGAAGCCGCGTGCTGGCGCAATCACACCGGGAGACTTTCATAGGCGGCTTGTGGCAAAGTGTTTGCTAGTACATGCGATGTACTAGTTTTTTACTGCGCGGCTTTGGCGGCTTGCCACAGGGTCGCCACGGGAGTGCTACGCCTCCCAGATGTTCCCGTGTGATTGCGACCGGATACTCCGCGGGACTCCCGTGCCTTCAGTGGGGCAAATGCTCCGTGTGAATGGGGCCAAACTGTGGTATTGGACCTGTGTCTTATTTTTCTTTTAAGTATCGTGCCTTTCTCTCGTAAGCATTCAAATGGGATTATACCAGTTCAGTTCATAAATGTCGTCCTTAGTAACTAACAATAAATATCTTTTGACTAAATATCTTAAGACCAACAAAGATATCCGAAGAAGAAAGCTTATACCCAGAATAAAACTTCGTTGGTCTTAAAGCTGCCACTGGATTCATACTTTGTTCTGCTGCTTCAGACCAACCCAACTACCCACCTGAATCTAAGTATCTTTTCTTACTGGTCGCAAATTAATCAATTAACCGATAGTCAAATAACCAGCTGTTGCAACACGTGTACTTGATTAATCGTCCTTAAACGATAGCGGGTAGGTTCCTTTATTGCATATATACCTTCCCCCAATTTCTCGGAGGACGTCTTACACCTGCGGCGCCATTTCTTCCGTCTATGGATGAAGCCATGGGACAAACAGGTAGGGAAGGCGAAGCGCCGAGAGTCAGCTCTCTCTCCCCCCCCCCGCCGGGACCCGGAAGTGGCTTGTGCGCTTGCGTTCAGAGGCGGGCCCGCTGCCTCGGCGCTGTCTGAGGGGAAGGAGGGTAGCCGCGGGAAACCGCGTCCGCCGTCGGCGCTGGTGAGGTTGCGCCTCCTGTCCCTTCTGTCCCGCACCGCCGTCATGAGCGTAGCCGCTCTGGTCTCTCCTGCGCTCCCGCCCGGGCCGCCGCCTCCTCCGCCTCCTACCAGCGCGCTGCCCCCGGGATCAGGCCCTGCCGCCGCTGCGGCCATCGCAGCCGCTGCCGCCGTCGCAGCCGCGGAGAGCTATGAAGAGGAAGAGTTGGATAGCCCCGCCGACGAGGAGGATGGGGAGCGTAGTGGACGCGCGCGGGACTCGGACGAGGGTGAGTGGTGCGGGGGGGCCCCCAGCTCGGGGCAGGGGAGGGGCTCGTGAACGGTCGTCCCTGCGCGGTGTTTATCTTTTTTAGTAAGCTGCCGGCTATGCAGACCCCTTCTGCCTTAAAGGGGAAACCCCTTTAAGTAGTCCCCGCTAATCTCAAGGCGGGTTTGCTCGCCGGTAAGCGTGCAGAGAGTTGGGACTAGACTGGCTCACTGCCGGGAGTCGGTGGGCGTGCAGCAAAGACCTGTGTCTTCCCTCTTCCCCGTGGGGAAGCAGAGGAATTATGGATTAGTTTTAGGGAGCTATGTTTACTTAACCCAGTCTTCAAACGTTCGGAAGTAGGGCTACTTGGTCATAATAGATTTCTTTCCAAATGATTTTTTTTTCTTTCAAAATGTATAAACTTTCCCCCCTTTTTAAAAAAGTGCTTCAAGTAGAAGTTAGTGTGAGTTTAAACAACTGAAGGAAAAAAACCAGAAGATAATGTCTCATGAAGCGTTTTAGTGGAAGGTGGTGATACGAAACAGGGCAGGAGGAAAGTTGCTCATCTGCATAAACGTTTCTGTGATTACTGGGGTGTGATCAATGATCCGGAGCCCAACTGAACGCCATGCTTTTTAGTACTATGTTTATGTAATTTAGTACAGGATATCATAATTGGTTTCTTTATCTGAATGAGGAGCAGCCCATTATCTACCTTAATTACATGGTATGTGAAGAATTTCTGGGACTTGCTGCCCCAAGAAAGCATTGATTGCTTACACTGATGGTTTTTAAAAGAGCTAGAGAAGAGCTGATGATGTGTCCTTTTAGTTCAGTCTGTAGTGACAAAGTGACACTTACTGGGAAATGAAAATTTCTGTGGGTTTGCTCCCAGATGAACTGTTAGGGTAGCAACCTTTTCCCCTTCTTAATGAGGACATTATAGATTTGATCTGAGCTGAAAGAAAGTGCTGGGCGTGTAAGGCATTCCAAATTGTAATGCAAAGAGGGTGTGAAAGCTAGCTAAGGAAGCTAGATCTAAATCTAATCACTGAAAGTACTGGGGGCAGCCAGCAGAGCCCTCTGTGTTTTGGAAGTTTTATAGAGCACTTTTGTTCAGGTGTCAGCCCTGGTTAGGCTTCTGGACATAAATAAGGCATCCTGGTTTGTCTGCCTCTTCTGCTTCACCATAGGACAGTGCTACTCAACAAGCTGGCTTGTGAATTCACAAGTCTGAACAAACTGCAGTTAGTGTGAAGTATTAAAGGACCAGCAACAGATTCTGGCACCAGCTACTAAATCTGAATTTGTTGAGCTGTCTGCATTTGAATGCCATAGCTAACTGGGGTTTGACCATGATTTGTTTTGCTGCTTGAATGCAGCTGCCATATTTGGGAGTTGCGTTGAACTCAATGGAATGCCAAATATCAGAGTCTGTAAGAAAGGAAGGAAATTGGTGGAAGTAGCTGTGGAGCCCCTATTGCCATATCTGTTCAAACCCATGATATATCAAGTCTTTACCTCTTGTAATTTCAGGGTTTGAATAGCAAAAAAGCAAAATGAGCATCTTTTTCATGTATTTGTAAAGATTTTTCCTTGTAAAAAGAATGCAGTTTTGCTTTCATTTAATTATCTTGGGATGAACTTCATGGTTGGAGGGGCTGTGCTTGAAGTACAATATGCTGCTATCCAACTATTTGACACTGGTAGTTTTTATGTTTTTCAGATACCGAGGATGCTAGTGAAACAGATCTGGCCAAACATGATGAAGAGGATTATGTGGAAATGAAGGAACAGTAAGTATTCTTCTTCTCCATTTGATGTTGTAATTGGTTTTTCTGATGGAAAATGGTACTGCCAAGGTGGCTGTGTGTAAAGTGGACTTTTATGAAGGGTCCCTCCGTGTGTGCTGCAACCCTATAACTCATCTGTCAAATGAAAAAGAGCACCAGGATTTGTTAATAATAGAGCTGCTAGAATTCTTTAAGTACTTTGTAAATCAGGAAATCCTGTAGATCAGGAAAACTTTTAATTGGCTCATCTAACCCTTTCTGCTTGGTGATAGTACAGCTGTGAGTTTTGGGCCCTGGAACAAAGCAGGTTGTTAGAGGTGTCTTCCCTTCCACTGTGAACATCCACAAGGCAAATATATCATGTCAAAGTTGTATCCACGTTTAACTGTGTGTTCCTTTCAATCTCTTGCTTTCATGAAATCAGGGTTGCAAACCACGCTGCTTGGCTGCTGTCATTCCATTTAGAGAGGTGGTTTTGCTAAAACTCAGCATAGACTTATGGCAGCCGCCCCATTGAGGCAGAGCTCTAGACAACTGCCCCATTACTTGTTCTCCTGCCCTCTGACTTCCTTTCCTGATGGTACTGTGAGTTGATGTTGACTCTCATTAATGTCTCTATGTGCTTTGAGCAACTGAGGTATTTAGTCTGGCCTCCCCCATAGAGACTGTCCTCAGTGATCTCCTTTAGGATCCTCTTTGACTTTTGAAGCCCTTTAGATAGAGATATCAATTACTGAAGAAGGAGGAGAAGGAGGAGGGGATTTATACCCCACCCTTCACTTGGAGTCTCAGAGCGGCTTACAAACTTCTTTCCCTTCCCCTCCCCACAACAGACACCCTGTGAAGTGGGTAGGGCTGAGAGAACTCTGACACAAACTGCTCTTTTTCAAGGACAGCTGTGCCAGAGCTTGTGACTGACCCAAGGTCACATCAGCAGGTGCAAGTGGAGGAGTGGGGAATCAAACCCGGTTCTCCCAGATTAGAGTCCGCACACTTAACCACTACACCAAAATAGCTCTCTGCTAGTCTCTGTGAGTATATTCACAGCTAGTTCCCATCTTCTTTTAAATCTGTTTGGTTTTCTTTTGAAGGAGGGTTCTTCTTTGCCTTCTGTATCTCTGAAGAGTTCTTGATTGTATTCTGGATCTCCTGCTGTGATCCTTTCTCCGTGTTATGCTATCCCGTGGTGATATCTCCAAATTCCACTGTTTTCACTATCCATCCCATTGGGAAGTGGCTGAGCATCTGCTTTGCACACAGAGGCTTCTAGATCCCTGGTATCTTTATTTAAAAGGATCAGGTGGTATGTGATGTGAAAGACCTCTTTCTAAGGCCCTGGAGAGTTGCTGGCAGTAAGGGTAGATAATACTGACCTTGATAGACCAGTGTCCTGACTCAGTATAAGGCAGCTTCATGTGTTCATGCTGATGATGATACCAAGCTATCCTGCTCCACACTAGACTTTTCCCCTTTGCAACTCTAGTTGCATGCCTGACACTTTCCTTGGATGTCTCATTACCATCTTAAACTCAACATGTCCAAAGACTGAACCGGTCTCTCCTCTGTTACTGTCCATGTCAGCTGACTTAACCAACTAACCATGGAGCCTTGGCTTTGTTTGATTCTGTTAGTACTGCTTGAAAAAAACTAGGCCCTTTCCCCTCAGTTAAAAACCTCTGCTTCATGCTTTGCCATCTTGTGCTTCAGTTGTTGCAATATGCTTTTCTCCAGCCTTCCTTTGTGTCACATCTCATTCTTTCGTCCTGTTTCTAGACTTCCATTGTGACAGTACTTTTCTTCAGCCATTCTTCAGGTCATGTGATATCCTCAAATCCTTGTGCTGGCTTCTCATTGCAGTTCTTCATCTGCTTCTGTACCACAGCAGCTGTAATACAACATATTAGTTTTCCAGCCAGTCTGTCTTGACACAGCAATACATGGTGAACTTTAAGTATATCCATGGCACTAGCTTTGTCTGGGCCACTGTGGGTCCCTTTTGGGATCTGAGGTGACCTCACATTGATTAACAACACCTTTGTGTAGAAAGGCAAGAACAGTAAATCAAGTTAACTTAAACATGTTGCTTTGATCAATGCATTTCAAGATCTGCTTTCCATATTCTAACTTTTTAACAACTCAGATTTCTCCAGGCATATCTTGAAGCTGCATTTACTGTACAATAGGTTTAATTTAATATGGCCAAGATACTGCTGTAGCCCAAATGCCTTGATTTAATTATCTGCATCCTTTTTTTTTTTTTTTTTGGATGCCTTTGAGGAGCAAACTGGGGGGGGGAGTGTGTGAATGAATTGTGGAATTTCTGAAGTTATGTTGATGTATGTAATGATTCCATGTTTTAGTGTGTGTGTTCTTTAAATGTTTAGTTTGACTGCAGTACTGTAAGGAGAGTGATAGAGGGAGACAAGTGTGATTTTGATTGGCTGATGACTGAGAGTGTGGGAGGAGATGTTCTGAGTGGAATCGGTGTGTGTATGCTTATGAAGGGATTCTGTGTGTGAAATTTGAAGAGTGAACATAGTCTGTGTGCCTATAGGATTTGGAGTCTATTTCTGAGTGAATAAGACCAACAGTTTAGTCTGTGTGACTAAGAGAGTTGATTCTATTCTGTGTGAATTAAACAAAGAGACTAGCCTGTGTGGCGATATATATGAGAGAGAGAGTATACTGAGTGTATAAGCCTGTCAGAGTGGAGTTAGAGGGACTGTTTGTAGCACCAAGCTTTGCCAGTTATATTTACAAGTCCCTTTCGTCAGCAACTGTTAAAAATAACCAGAAACCTACTTTGTTCTTTATTAAATCAATTTTTATTTAAACTTATCCCAGAAATCAGTACAGTACTTCCTCAGGGCCACATAGTCCTCTGAAGTGCCCAGACCCTGGGTTATACTACCAAAAGAGAGAGAATTGGAATTTTAATTTGTGGTGACACCAGATAACTACCAAGTTTATATACACAGAGAGTGTTTAAAGGTAAAACCGTTTCCCCTATAAGCAAGAACCTCACAGTGTCCTTCCCTTAAATGGGGGAGATCCCAGGCAGCCTCATATGACTATAGAATAGAAGCATTCAAGGAGTGGGGAAAAAGAAGGTAAAATAAGCATTGTGTTTTACTTGTGCACATCTTGTTGCAGGATGTATCAGGATAAACTGGCATCTCTTAAGAGGCAGCTACAGCAACTGCAAGAAGGTAATGTTTCAAAATTGTGAAGTGTGAGTTCTTGAGTTCCTAATTCTGCTTTTCTCCAGTATCAAGGTGGCTAAATCAGACCTTCTGGCACACTCCTTGTTAACTGTCATCTTATTTATTTTTTATTTATTTATTATGAGATTTCTATCCCGCCCTACCCAGTGGCTCAGGGCGGCTAACAGCAACATACAAATACTAAAACAATAAAATAATTTTAAATACAATAAAAACTGGTGCTTCAGTCTATACAATCTATACCATTTACAAAATGCTTGGCGATTATTTGCTGCCTATGATCTTAATAATGAGAGCGTCCCAGCGCAAACAGACTAATCGACCTCCATAGGGTCTGGTCGATGGACGATACAGTGGAGGTGGTGTAGCGATGGTGGTGGCGGCGGCTCCTACCCAAAGGCCTGGTGGAAGAGCTCCGTCTTGCAGGCCCTGCGGAACTGCACTAGGTCCCGCAGGGCCCGGATCTCCTCCGGGAGTTCATTCCACCAGGAAGGAGCCGCCACCGAAAACGCCCTAGATCTTGTATGGGCCAACCTCACAGCTCGGGGGGCTGGAACTACCAGACGATGGAGCATCCCCGATCTCAGTGCTCTTGAGGGATAGCTGTAATGTCTTGATAGCTGTAATGCTCATGCTGAGATTCCAGAACTTGCATGTATTATTCCTCCTTCCCTAGTTTTTCTGACTTCAGCATCAAGTTAAAAATAAAACTGAGTGCCAGAAAAAGACCAAGATTCATCTGCAAACAATGCAACATGCAAGGGTTGCCATAATAAAGTGTTTTTCTTCACATTACCTGCATTTTAAACAACATTCTGGGCAGCCATTGTCATTCCTACGAAACACCTAGTTGAATAACTAAAAGAAAAAAGTGCCCATTGACCTGCTGAATACATCTCTGCTGCTTGCACCTACCCCTTCCCTGCATAATGTTTTCTGGAATGGAGGGTGGAGATAATTGGAGTCAAGCAAAGCTGGGGTCCAATCAGTGTGTCTTCATACACACATCCCATTTTACAGAACTGTAAAGTAGCCTGTTCTGACTTTTTTTAGGGTCCTTTTGCCTGAGTGTTCTGGTGCCATTACTGTCTGCAAATACAAAACACAGACCCCGGTCACACAGGCCAGATATTGCCGGGGGGGGGGGAGGCGGGGCTAATTGCCCCGGTGCAGTTTGATGCGCTATTACGCGATCAGACGCGCCGGCGGCACACCATGGGTCCTTCCCTCGGGGCCGGCAGGTAAACGAGGGACCAGAGGGGAATGCCACGCGCCGGTGCGATCACACCACAGGCGTCTGGAGGCAGCCCGTGGCAAACGTTTACTAGTACCTTGGAGGTACTCGTTTTTTAAGGTGCATTGTTGGCGGTAAGCCACAGGTGCGCTCCACTTCCCAGATGTTGGGGTGTGATCGCGCCCGGATAATCTGCCCACCATCCGTGCCTCTCCCGCGGCAACTTTGCCGTGTGACCGGGGCCACATTTCTGCTAAATTATTCGAGACAGTTTACAACTTAAAATAATGGCTAAGATGCCCAGTGCAAAAGGGAGGAGAACAAAATTCAAGGCACCCAGCTGTTTTTGCTTGTCACGTTTTTGGATTCCATCTTTCCTCCAATTGAGCTTTGAGCAATGTTCATTGCTCTCCCGTCCTTCCATCTGTTTTCATAATAGTTAGGTGAAGTCAGGTAAACAGAACAAGACTGTTCCAAGGTCACTGTGGAGCATGGGGCTTGAACCTGGGTCTCCTCAGTCCTAGTCCTTTACAGCACTCTGGCTCTTCATAAGTGTTAGTGGTGGAGGTACCAAATGAAACTGAAGGAGACAGTTTTAATAAGGGAGAAGCCGAATGGCTGTAAATTCCATATCAACCAATAGAGAGGGTATCCCTTTTTAAAAATTAGTGTTCCATATTCCTGAAATGAGGGTGTTGATTGTGTGTGGATAAAATGTTGCTTCTGCTTTGGCAAGGACAAAATGTATAGTTTGTGCTCTGTACAGGTACTTCGTGGAGCATCTACCCCTCCCCATAGCAATATCAAGGCACCATCCCCAGATTAGCCATCAGTAACTTCATAACTCTGTGAAACAGTGAAACGAGGAGAAGCAATGTCTGTTCAGAAGGGGGGGCCTTTTGTCTCCATTTTTCAAACTGCTGTGGCATAGTAGTAAAGCCTCATTTTGTAATGCCTTTTTGAAATAGGTACTTTACAAGAGTATCAGAAAAGAATGAAAAAACTGGATCAGCAGTACAAGGAGAGGATACGTAATGCAGGTGAGTGTTTTGGGGTTTTTGACAGCTTAGCTGAGTCTTTGTTGCTTTCATAGTGGAAGGTGTCTATATCACAAGAAGACAGATGTCCATTCAACACAAGGGTGGGATTCTTGCATTCACACGTGTGTGCATAGTTGAAAGTAATTTCTGTTGATTTCAGTGGAACCTGAGCCATTCTAGAGGGGTTTCAAGCTTTGCTGAAGAGCGAGGTTGTGGGGACATGGCAATATCATCATTGTTGCTTTGGGGAGGGGGCTGTTAAAGTTGTTCTTAACTGAATGCTGTTCTGGGCAGTGACATAAGAACATAAGAGATGCCAATGTTGGATCAGGCCAAAGGCCCATCCAGTCCAACACTCTGTATCCCACAGTGGCCAGAAATACCAGTGCCATCAGGAGGTCCACCAGTGGGGCCAGGACATTAGAAGCCCTCCCACTGTTGACCCCCCCAAGCACCAAGAAGACAGAGCATCACTTGCCCCAGAGTCCCTATCTATACCTTGTGGCTAATAGCCACTGATGGACCTCTGCTCCATATGCTTATCTAATTCCCTTTTGAAGCCGTCCATGCTTGTAGCCGCCACCACTTCCTGTGGCAGTGAATTCCAAGTGTTAATCACTCTTTGGGTGAAGAAGTACTTCCTTTTATCCGTTCTAACCCGACCGCTCAGCAATTTCATGGAGTGCCCACGAGTTCTTGTATTGTGAGAAAGGGAGAAAAGTACCTCTTTCTCTACCTGCTCTTTCCCATGCATAATCTTATAAACCTCAATCGTGTCACCCCTCAGTCGTCGTTTCTCCAAGCTAAAGAGCCCTAAGCGCCTTAACCTTTCCTCATAGGGAAAGTGTTCCAACCCTTTTATCATTCGAGTTGCTCTTTTCTGCACTTTTTCCAAAGCTATAATATCCTTTTTAAGGTGTGGTGACCAGAATTGCACACAGTATTCCAGATGAGGTCGCACCATTGATTTATATAGCGGCATTATGATATTGGCTGATCTGTTTACAATACCCTTCCTAATAATCCCCAGCATAGCATTGGCCTTCTTTATTGCAGTCACACACTGTCTCGACATTTTCAGTGAGTTATCTACTACAACTCCAAGATCTCTCTCTTGCTCAGTCTCTGCCAGTTCAGACCCCATCAACGTGTATTTATAGTTAGGATTTTTGGCTCCAATGTGCATCACCTTGCACTTGGCCACATTGAACCCCATTTGCCATGTTGACGCCCACTCGCCCATCTTTGACAGATCCCTTTGGAGTGCCTCACAATCCTCACTGGTTTTCACCACCCTGAACAACTTCGTATCATCCGCAAATTTAGCCACTTCACTGCTTACTCCCAACTCCAAATCATTAATGAACAAGTTAAAAAGCAGTGGACCAAGTACTGATCCCTGCGGTACCCCACTGCTTACCCCCCTCCACTGAGAGAACTGCCCATTTATACTCACTCTCTGTTTTCTATTAATTAGCCAGTTTTTGATCCATAAAAGGACTTGTCCTTTTATCCCATGATTTTTGAGCTTACTTAGGAGCCTTTGATGAGGAACTTTATCAAAAGCTTTCTGGAAGTCAAGGTAAACAATATCTATTGGATCCCCCTTGTCCACATGTTTGTTCACCCCCTCAAAGAACATTAACAGGTTAGTGAGACAAGATCTTCCCTTACAGAACCCATGTTGAGTCTGCCTCAATAGGTTTTGTTCATCTATGTGCCTACTAATTCTTTCCTTAATAATGGTTTCCACCAATTTACCCGGTATCGACGTCAGACTGACTGGCCTGTAATTTCCCGGATCTCCTCTGGAACCCTTTTTAAAGATGGGAGTGACATTAGCTACCTTCCAGTCCTCAGGAATGGAGGCTGATTTTAAGGAGAGATTACATATTTTTGTCAGGAGATCCACAAGTTCACAATTGAGTTCTTTCAGAACTCTTGGATGTATGCCATCTGGGCCTGGTGATTTATCAGTTTTTAAGTTGTTTATCAGTTTTAGGACCTCCTCTCTCGTCACCTCAATCTGACTCAGGTCTTTCAACACCCCTCCCGAACTCAGCGGCTCTGGAGTGGGCAAGCACCTCTCATCTTCCACAGTGAAGACGGAGGCAAAAAATGCATTTAGCTTCTCAGCCATTTCCCTATCATCCTTCAGTACTCCTTTTACCCCTTGGTCATCCAAGGGCCCCACTGCCTCCCTGGCTGGTTTCCTGCTTCTAATGTATTTGAAGAAAGTTTTATTGTTGGTCTTTACATTTTTTGCTATATGCTCCTCATATTCCCTTTTTGCCTGCCTGACCACAGACTTGCATTTTATTTGCCATAGCCTGTGTTCTGTTTTATCAGCCTCACTGTGACTAGCTTTCCACCGCTTAAAGGAATCCTTTTTACCTTTTACAGCTTCCATTACTTTGTTTGTTAACCATGTAGGCTTTTTCTTATACCTGTTTGTGCCTTTCCTAACCTGCGGAATATATTTTATTTGAGCTTCTAGAATTGTAGTTTTAAACAGTTTCCAAGCTTCCCCAATGGTTTTGACCCTTTCTACTTTTCCCTTCAGTTTCCTCCCCACATGTCCCCTCATATCAGAAAAATTACCCCTTTTAAAGTTAAAAGTGGTTGTGTGAGTCTTTTTGGCCAATTCCCTATTTGTACAAATGTTGAACTCAACAACATTATGATCACTGTTCCCAAGCGGTGCAATCACTTTTACATCTCTCACCAGGTCTTGAGTGTTACTTAGGACCAAATCAAGGATCGCCTCTCCCCTGGTAGGTTCCATGACCATCTGCTCCATAGCACAGTCATTTAGAGTGTCTAGAAACTCAATCTCTTTCTCTCGACTAGAACACATATTGACCCAATCAATGTGTGGGTAGTTAAAATCACCTATTACGACACAGTGTTTTTGTCTAGCTGCTATCTTTAATTCATTCATCATTTTATAATCCTCCTCTATCTTTTGATCCGGTGGGCGATAACAAACTCCCAGTGTTAAGTTTCCTTTTGGCCCCCCTATTTCAACCCACAGAACTTCAAGAAGCGAATCCAATTCTCTTAGCCTCTCGATCTTTCTGGACTTTATACCCTCTCTGACATACAGAGCCACCCCACCTCCAACCCTTCCCCCCCTATCCTTCCGATATAATATATAACCGGGAATCACCGTATCCCACTGATTTTCCTCATCCCACCAAGTTTCTGAAATACCCACAATGTCTATTTTTCCCTCTGACACCAAGCACTCCAACTCCCCGATTTTACCTCGGACACTTCGAGCATTTGTATAGAAACAGCTGTAATTTCCCATACTGGTTAAGCCTGCCACCTTCCTCTTGCAATCTCGAGACCTTGTCAGGCAGTCCATGTCACTAGCCATGGTCTCAGTGGACAATTTCAATCCACCTCCCTGTAGAAAAGCAACAGGTACCCCCTCATCTCTCTGAGATGAGCCAACCCGAACCAGAGACTTTTCATCTCCTGTCGGCTTTCCCCCAATATTCAGTTTAAAAACTGCTCTGCCACCTTTTTGATTTTAAGCGCCAGCAGCCTGGTTCCTTCTCGGGACAAGTGGAGACCGTCTCGCCTGTACAGCTCCCTCTTGTTCCAAAAAGAATCCCAGTGCCTAACAAACCTGAACCCTTCCCCTCTACACCATCGTCTCATCCACGCATTGAGACTCCTGATCTGTGCCTGTCTCTCCGGCCCTGCGCGTGGAACAGGTAGCACTTCTGAGAAGGCTACCTTGGAGGTCCTGGCCTTGAGTTTCCTGCCCAGCAGCCTAAATTTCTCCTCCAGGACCTCACGACTGCATTTCCCCACATCGTTGGTGCCGACATGCACCACGACCACTGGCTCCTCCCCAGCACTATCTACCAGCCTATCTAAAACACGCGTAATGTCCGCTACCTTTGCACCAGGCAGGCAAGTCACCATACGGTCAGTACGCGGGTTCGCCACCCAGCTGTCTACCTGCCTAAGGATCGAATCACCCACTACCAAGAGCCCCCCTCCCACCCTGCCCAGGGATGGTTCCTTGGTGCAAAAGGATAACCGCTCACCAGCTGGGGAAGAGGTCCCTTCTGAGGGCACATTCCCCTTATCCTCAGCACGGTGCCCTGTTTCCCCTAGACCCTCATGCTCCCTGACAGCAGCGGGGCTGCCAGATCCAGAGTGGGACGTAGCTAACAAGTCCCCGAGAGTCTTTTCTGTGCGCCTAGCTGACTGTCTCTGCTTCTCCAGGTCAGCCACCTTGGCCTCAAGGGAGCACACACGTTCCCTGAGAACCAGGAGCTCCTTGCACCGAGCACACACCCAAGACTTCTGCCCAGTGGGCAGATAGTCATACATGTGACACTCTGTGCAAAACACTGGATAGCCCCCAACCCCCTGCTGGCATTCTGGCTTCATAATTCTTTTAAAATAAGTAAATGTAATCCCCCTTTTAAATCCCTTTGTATTTATGTGTTTTTTTCTTGTCAAAGTCAAATTACTTTATGGGGAAAACAAGGAGCCTAGGGTTTTCACTTTCTGCCTCTTCTTGGGCGTCTCACAGAGCCCCTAGTCCAAGAGTCCCTGGGCTAAGAGCCACGGGCAAAGAGCCCTTTAGCTCGCCCTTCGGCTCGTGCCAGAGGCTCGTGCCTCTGGCAAGGTGCTTCCTTAAATAGAGGCCTCCCCCAGCAGAGTGCTGGCAGCAGCTATTCAAATGCACCCAGGCACTCAATCACATGCAAAACAATGCCCCTTCCTTTTCCTCTCAATTGCAGTCAATCACAGTCAAACAATGCCCTTTCCTCTCCCACTCTGAAGCAGCCAGGAATCTGCAACAACTCCAAGCACTTCCCCACACTCCCAGACCAGTTCTCCCACCAAAATCCTCCGCTGAATCCTCTCAGCTGAAAGCAAGTAAAAAACCACTCACCCCTCTGTCTCCTGCTCCTGCTCAGAGCTCAGCTGGGACATTGGTAAATTATCTCCTCCTATCAGAACTTCATGTTCAGGTGTATGGCCTACACTGTTTGCTGATTACTGCAACATACACATGCCTGTGGGCCCAAGGGGAACCTCATACTTGTGGCTTTTCAAAGTGGAATGTTCCCAAAGCTGAAAAGCCAACAAGAAGGCTTTTTCTAACGCTGCCTCCTTAGTTGGCTACTTGTAGACTAAAAGATATGAGCTAGGAAACTCCTCAGATGCCGAGGGAGAAACTGACTGGGTACAGAAGAAGGCAGGCGTGAAGCGGGAAGGGAAGGTCAGCAGCAGCCCAGTAACCAAGCATGCATTGAAAAGGGTCCTGAAGCTCATTCTGAGTTAAGTAACAGGCTTATTCATTGCTTGGTGTTCTTCATCTCCTATATGAGGACCACTGGACCACAGGTGATGTAGGTGGAAGTTTTCTTGGAAATGAGATTTTGCTGGAGTTAAATATGTTCACAAATGACTAAAATCATTCAACTTGGTCTCTTTTTTTCAGAACTCTTTCTTCAGCTGGAAGTAAGTGTGACTTTATGGTTTTGTTACATTTTTAGGAAAAGAACAGGCAATACTGTACTCATTCGTGCTTTCACTTGAGATATTACTAACATTTAGTTGTTGTAAAATATTGTGCAAACCATTACTCCCCTCCTCCCCAAAAAGAGTAAATGTGTGAATCCAAGTCACATATAATCAAATCCTTGTGTCACTGAGTATACCTTCCAGGCTTAATTTTGTTCTCAATATATGTGCACCGTGAGTATTATTTAACGGTTAGTGTTGGACTAAAATTCCAGGTGGAGTGGGGGAGGCCTGCATTCAGATCACTGCTTAGTGGTTGGCTCTTAGTGGTTGGCTCTTAGGGGAGGCTTTTACTGGTTGATCCTAGGCCAGGTCTAACCCAGTGGTTCCCAAATATTTTTGGGCCACTGCCCTCCGTAAACTCATCTCCAGTGCCCTCTACCCTGTAAAAGCATTATTCAGAATAGCTGTTTGCATGACCCACTACAAAAGATAATAAAATTTAAAATAGTAACAGTTAGTAGCAAATTTATTCAAAATCCAATTAAAACTTTTTGGTTTAATTTATTCAACAAAATGGATGAACTTGATCCATTGACACCATCTTTTCAAAGTCAAAAACAAATCCTGATAGTTTCCAACAGATTTCAGCAGCATGCAGAGGTAGAAACTTGGAGTACCATTTAGCAATATTGTGCCATAGCCTGATCAGTTGTGAATAAGTGAACAACTTGATCGAAGGGGCCCATGTCCAGCACCCCCCTGTCGCTCCCTTGCCTCTTAGCTCCCCCTTAGATAATCCCGCTGCTCTCCCGGGGGCGGTACTGCCCACTTTGGGAACCACTGGTCTAACTTGACTCACAGAGATGCTGTGAAGATAAAATGACAAAGATGAGACCTGACACAACTCCCTGGAGAAAAGGTAGGATAAAAATGTGGTAGATACACCACAGAATTATGAAAGATGGTTATGCCTGTATAAGATCATACCATTCCATTCAAAAAGCAGTGGCCTGGTCTGTATCTGATCCCATCCATCTTCTATGTATTTAAAGGGCATTTAGAAAGATATAAAGCCATTTTCATACACATGGTATCCTGCCAATTGGAACTGGGTCTTTCAACCAAGTATGCCGTGGAACACAAGAAGCCTCTGTAAGGATATTGTCCTGGACAATAGGTCTCATTCTGACTTTTAGTAATCATAGTTAAATGGAATTTCTTGGTACTCTGGCTTTGTACTTCTGCATACAAGTTGTTTTCTTTGTCAGACAGAGCAAGTAGAAAGGAACTACATTAAGGAGAAGAAGGCAGCCGTGAAGGAATTTGAAGATAAAAAAATTGAGCTGAAGGAAAACTTGATTGCTGAGTTGGAAGAGAAGAAGAAAATGATAGAGAGTGAAAAGCTAACCATGGAGCTAACGGGCGGTAAAGTTGCCAAAAATAATGATGGCATTGGAGGGGGAGGGAGAAACACAACCCATTAAGTATGTTTACGCAGCTGTATAATCTGTTGTTGAATTTGGATTTTTTTTTATGCATAGGATTCTTCACCACCTCGATACAACTATGATGGACCGTATTGTGTGGGCCAATCCAAAGATTTAGTTGGAAGTAAGTCCCACTGGTCTCAGTGGAACTTACTAGTAAGCTTGCATAGGATTGTGGCTCTAACTATGGAATGCCTTAATTCTTCATCAGTTTGTGGTGTAGAATTGTGTTCCAAAGGCGGTCTCTGAGATTTGTTCTGCTTAAAATAAAGCATCTGCCTAATTCTTTGTCAAATCTGAGACAAAGACTTGGTAAATGGAGCCTGAAAAAAGTTACTTTTGTTTTACTACACTGAAATGCAGCTCTTCCTTATATTATGTTTTCTTAAAAATTTCATGGTCTTACTGGCTAGCTTTCTCTGTTTCACAGATTCCATGGAGGTGAAACCTATCATGACAAGAAAATTGAGGAGGCGGCCAAATGACCCTGTTCCCATTCCTGACAAAAGGAGGAAGCCAGCCCCAGATATCCTTTTAATTGTTTTATTTATTCAGTTAAAATATTGAAGGACTGCCTGTTAATCAAGGTTTTCATTCACGGCAAATAGAAATGCAAGGAAGTCAAGAAAACCGCATTGAATCAGTAGCAGCACACCAATTGAAACAGTAAACAAATTAAAATAGCTTAATACTAAAAGAAATAGTGAAGACTAGATATAAAATCTGCTAATTTCCGAATGCCCTCTGCAGTGCATTGCAGTTCTGCATTTATTTAAAATGTTTATACCCTACCTTTCCAGGCTTCCAGATAAAAATGCATAAAATAACAATGTTATGTACATGAGTACATACAGAATAAAACTAACCAGCTCACAGCAGGGAAAATGAACCAGAGGCCTGGATGGACAGTAACATTTTGGCCTCCAAAACAGAAAAGATTGCTGTTTGCCAGGAGCCCAGTGTGGTGGACATTTTCCACGTGAGGTGCCACCAAAGAAAAGGCCCCCTGCTAGGAGGCCTCTGACAATGGGACACTTAAGGCAGGAACCCCAAAGGGAATCTTCATTCTGGGGCATGTTCATAGTAGAGCAAGCAGTTCTTCAAGCGCCTTGGTCCCAAGCTTTTAATGTATGTATGTGCAGTCAAGTCACAACCAACTTATGGTGAACTCAGCAAGGAGCTTTCAAGGCAAGGGAGAAGCAGGGGTGGTTTCCCTTTGCCTTCCATATTAGCTTCTGAGATCTGACAAGACTGGGCTATAGCATGCCACTTTCCCTCCCCCAAACTGTTCAAGACTCTAACATTCATGAACGTTTCAAGCTGTGCCTACAAACCAATAGACAGCCATGGAACTAAAGCAGTATATTTTTAACTTTCTGAAGAAATGCAATTTGTATTGAATTGTCTGTCAGGTAATCTGTGTACTGCAGTGGGTGGTAGGTCTGGCACATGATTGCTGACAGGACTTGCTGAGCCTCACTGTTCTCTAACCTGGCACTCCTTTGCTAAAGGTCGTTGCAGCGGTGGCAGGCATGGAAGCTGACCTGTCCTTGTTGATGGTCTCCCTGGAAGCTTGTCTAGACTTCAAGAGCGAGAGCTTCCAGGGAACTCCAGAGTTTCCAGAACAACCTTGAAATCCTCTCTTTGGAGCTTGCATCCTCTACAGTTTTGGCATAAGAAGTTTTCTTCTCCAGTTCATACATTATGTCAAGTGCAATGTCTTGGTTATTTGCACCTTAATTTAGATTACCTCAGCTTAATTACCTTTTAACAGATGAACAGATAATGGAGGATCTGCGGACACTTAATAAGGTAAGATAATTCCGTATCAGATGCTCCTCCTCATCCAGCAGGCAGGAGAGAATTGACTACTCCTCCTCCTCCTCCTCTTCCTTGAACAGTAGGCAGGGCCAACCAGCTTTGATATATCCATCTGGCAAAGAACCACTTCCAATTTTTTGGCTGTGTTTTCTCAGCAGATGGAGCAAGTTCTACTGGACTTCTCCTTTAAGCAGGAAGCCCCCCACCAACCCTACCCTGTATTTCCGTTCAATTTGCTCTATGCTGATTTTTATTATTTTCCTTCCGTATCTGTGTCTTAGCCACCAGCGACCAGGGTGGGGTGACAGGATGCTGGCTGTGTTGGCCCCATTAGGTATCTGCACAATGTGTGGCCAGACTATAGCTTCCCCCCCTCCCCCAGCAGGCAAAGGACAGATACTCCTTGTTCACAGCCATCTCAGGCAGAGTGTGGCAGCTGAGAGAGTATCCCCAGCCATTCAGTACCAACAGTAGGTAGGAAGGGAAAGATGCTCTTGGTGCCAGCAACGCACAGGAGTCCCAGTTGGGCAAATACACCAATAAACCGCCCTGGTGAGGTTGAGTCAGCTCAAGGCTACCCTTCACAACAGCCTTCCAGAGCAACATGGAGGGTTAAGTTGGGGGTCTGTGTTAAACGCTTCTGACTTGTTGCTCGTACTCATACAAGGGATACTGTCCTTGCACTCTGTTTTTGTGGTGAGTAACTGCATTGTCTGCGCAGTTGAAAAATGGTGCCCCCCTCAAGATCCTGTCATTAGGAGCATCCCCTGCATGTGTATGGTGTGCTTACAGAGGTGTGACAAAAGCAGGAAGGGGGAGACATGGCAGTTCCTCAAATGCTAATGATTAGGTCTAACCACCATCTGCCCAAGTTAGGCTGAGGTGGGGCCAGCATCTCCCACTCCCAAAGTTCCAAGACAAGGTTGGAGAAAAAAGGGCCAAGAAAAGAAAACACCTGGAAAGTCGCCCTTGAGGCGTTCTGATTCAGGAATAGAAGGGACCACATTGAACTCAGGAATCCCGTTCCAAATTAGAGGAGGACACCCGCTCTGGGAATGCTTCACTGTTCCTGTCCTGTTCTAACAGGATATTGTTCAGGCTTTAGACTTTTCTCATACTGTTCCCAAAGTCTTTTCTCATACTGTTCCATACAATAATGTATGGAAACCATTGCTGCTTCTGATCCCTGCTTCAGTGGTTGCTGGCTAAGGTCCCTACCAGCCATGTATCTTTGGAGAACTCTTTCTGTGTCCCATCAGAGGCGTCCTCATCAGAACCAAGGCTAAGAAAAAGGTGCTTCCTTCTGCTTCCAGAAGAGAAGAGCATAAGATAAACTAGGGTATATCTGATTCCTTCCCCCCACACACACACACACAGAAAAATTGTTCATGATGCAGGCACCCCATTGGCTTGCCTGGAACAAACAGAGGGCTGTCCCAGGGAAGCTTCGTTGCAGCACCAAAGCCTTTGCCAGTCAGATGGTTGTTTTCAATTGTTCCAACATGCTTGGAAGGCAACCATGGTCAAATTGTGGACACCGATCGCTGCTCAGCTGGGGTCAAGCTGTGGAGAGAATTTTGAAGGCATATTATCTGCAACTCCCAGTCCTGCAAGGTCTCCATGAGTCAGCTGTGACTTTACAGCACTTTCCACCATCACCCAGTCTTCCCGGAAGTACATTGGATTCCTCAGTGCTATTGAGGAAATGACATGCTCAGTTTCCACCCTGCCTGTAATTGAGGTATGGTCTGCTCTGAAATACCTCTCTCCTGCCTCCATATGAGAACAGAGCTGGACTTACGAAGTTCTTCAGTGTACAGGCAAACACGCACCCACCCCACTCCCGGCAGTTGTTCAGGATTTTTCCTGGAGTGGTAGGTATGATGACACTTGCACGGTATCCCCAATAGGACAGATTCAGTGAGGGCCTCTTGGGGACTCCTTGCTTGGTTTTTCCTGTGTTCTGTTATGATGGTTTACTTATAACTTCATGGTTTACTTATAATCTCCAGCACTGGGGGAAGACTTCTTCCTATAGAGATCGGTGTTGGTCTTGCCATCTAGTCAAGCAGAGTTAATTCTTTCCTACGCATGAACACATGAAGCGCCTTTATACCGAATCAGACCCTTGGGTCCATCAAGCTCAGTACTGTCTACTCAGACTGGTACAGGCTCTCCAGGGTCTCAGGCAGAGGTCTTTCACATCACCTACTGCCAGATCCCTTAACTGGAGATACCAGGGATTGAACCTGGGACCTTCTGCATGCCAAACAGATGCTCTACTACTGAGCCACAGCCCCTCTGATGTATTGTGTACATCCCATGAAAAAAATTGGGTGTACGTACATCCCATGGAACAGATGGGGTGTACACAGTTCACCTGACTTCCCTTTTTTCTCCCAATTAGTATATCCATATTTTATAGCAGCGGTGTTTCATTTACATACATTGGGAGTTAATCTTGAAATGCTTATAAATGTGGTACTCAGTTCTTGCACAGAAAAATGAAACTAAGACATTTCCCAATATCCTAAGTCCCTGAGCTTTGGGGCATTTTTATATGACTACCCATTTACTAGAAAAAAATCTGATCTTGAGGAGTTTCTGTTCTTCTGTTGGGCATCAGTGGGGTACCAACTATTTCCAGAAAGATGAAATTCAGCACACAAGCTGCTCAAAACATGCTGGTTACTAGTGAAAGTCTGCAGTTGAGATATTTTCGCAGTTGGTCAAATCTTTGTGCAGGAAAGGCTGACATTCCAACACACAGTCTACCAAGCTGCCCACTGGGCCATTCAAATTCTGTTATCCCTTCAACTGTAGAAGGGGGTGCTTCACTATACTTCACTATACTATACACTATCTATACTGTAATCATCTATACTTGCAAAATGCAAGCTTAATTTTTAATGGGTATGTAGACATATGTTGTTCTCTGGTCACAGTTGTTCATTGACAGAGGACATCAAGGTGGTACAGCACATATCACTTAAAATGCATATGGATTCATAATGATTTTTCCTGTAGGTAATAAGAAATGTTTTCAGAATGCAAAAGGCTGTTGAGGCTCAAAAATGGATTTGGGCTAACTTGTAGCTTTTTGCCCTCTTTTTTTTTTTGTACCTAATTGACTCCCATGCCCCTGCTTTTGAAGCAGAGGTATTTCAAAAGCAGTTTGGCCAGTTATATGGAAACGGGGCTACTGATGAGAGCCATAAATCCAAAGATTCTTTAGCTGTAAAATTACTTGCGTGTTTCTCTCGATTCTTGCTGTAGTTCAGCATATAAAATCTGCATTTTGCAAAATATGCAAGTGCCTCTTTTGAGGATTCTGAAACGGGGGAACAGTTCCACTTGATCACTTCTCTTTATTACTATGTAAGCAGCCACTCCACGTTAGAAAGTAATAGTTTTTATCAAGTTTACACATATGTGAAAATATTCCCTTTTGCAGTAGCACTCTAGAGCTTTAAATGGTCCCATCTGTGTCATGGAAGGTGAGATTTAAGATGTGTGTCAGGTCTACTTTAAATCAAAACTGTTGGCTTCAGTTGTCATTTTCATTTTACAAGGAAAACCATGTTGCTTTAATCTCAGAAGAACCACAGCTCACTAGCTTTGGATACAAATTATGAGAGGAGGTATCTTCAAGTTTTCAAATCATGTTTGGTACAGAAAGGACAAAGTGTGTGTGTGTACGTGCGTGTGTGGACAGATTACAAGACACCTCTATTTTCTGGAATCTGTCAGGAGTGCTGCTTAATTCTTAGAAGTGTAAGTCTGTGATTAAAGCTTTATTTGAAGATTTCCTATCTGTGTATTAAATGCTGGCAGCCCAAACTGAATTGCTACATTTGGTCAATGATTCTGTAAATGATTATTCGTTATGTTGTAGTATCTCATAAAATCACTAAATTTCTTGTTTTTTCTTGTAGCTTAAATCACCTAAAAGACCAGGTAAGCAGCTGTAGGCATCTTTGCTGTAGTAATTTCTCTTTCAATGTGTCTTAGCTATTATGTATCATTTCATGTAGTACTGTAGATGTGCATGGTGTTTACAGAGAGCTTGATTTGGAATACTGTAATTTGATCTTTGCTGGAGGTCTTAGTCCCTGAAAGTGGATGGAATGCAAAGCAGAACAGGCAACTGAAGTTCTGTGTCTGGTGATGACTCTGAGATACAACCACTGTTCAATGGTGCTCTAGAACTCTCTCCAGGTTTATTTTGATAGCCCTCCACGCCACTTCAGTGAAGCACAGTTCAGAACAATAAAATAGTTAATAAAATCTATTTAAAAATAACAAATATGTTGAGAGAAATATAAGTCAGTTTCAATAGTAGAATGCAAAACTATAGCCTGAAAACACAACCAGAGTAAACCAAGATCAGTCAAAATAAAAATGCCTTTGACGGCATCTGGATGCTAGCAGAGGTAGTTACTGATGAATATCAGAGGAGGTTTTTCCACACTTGGTAAAGAGCCAGTGTGGTGTAGTGTTAAAGAGTGACGGACTGTAATTTAGAGAAACGGGTTTGATTCCCTGCTCCTCCACATGAGGCCTGCTGGGTGACCTTGGGCCAGTCATGGTTCTCTCAGAACTCTCCCAGCCCCACCTACCTCACAATGTACCTGTTATGGGGAGAGGAAGGGAAGGCAGTTGGAAGTTGCTTTGAGACTCCTTAGGGTAGAGAAAAGCAAGGTATAAAAACCAACTCTTCTTCAAAGGCCCTGTCCCCAGTTACCACCCACCTCAGTAATGTTGGAGGGTGTGTGCAAAGGAGAGTTCTAATCAAGGCTGTACAGAATCCTTGCCAATTACAGAGCAAAACTAAAAGAAATTTGCAGGTGCCTGGGTAATGATAGGAAGCCAAGAACGTGGTGGGAGGGGGGTGTAGCTTAATGGCAGAGTGAATGCTGAAGGTTCTGTGTTCTCAGGACCTCTGAACGTGACCGACTTTCTCCAGGATCTCAGGCAAAGTAGTTCTGGGCTAGGGGAACTTACTGTCTGAGATTTTAAGATTGAGAACTCTGTTTTATCCTCTCTCTCTCCCTGAGTTAGTATGAATTAGATCTACATAAGTGTAATTAACCTCCTAACTAGTGTGCTTGATTTACAAAAGCTTTTGTCTTAACACTTGCACCCTTGTCTTGAAGTCACAACATTTAGTGTTGCACTCATTAACAGTGCTGTTCAGATGTTAAACAGCATATAAAGCTCACTCTTCTGTTCCAGCATCTCCTTCATCACCAGAGCACCTGCCAGCTACACCAGCTGAATCCCCAGCACAGCGATTTGAAGCAAGGATAGAAGATGGCAAACTTTACTACGATAAAAGATGGTGAGTCTTGGCTTGGAAGATTTGGCTTGTTCTAAGCTCATTTGTGCATAAAAAGGACATTTTTTTTGCCAGTCTATGCAAAGTTTTGTACCATACTGAAGCTGGTTCTGTTCAGATCACCCCAGAAGAGGCTATCATAGTGTAGGAGAAAGCTCTGACAACCCAAATGTCCAAGGGATTTATGATAAAGGGATAAAGAATCTGAGGTGGCTTGTTTTTGAATTTAGAAATGCAAGCTATGGGAAGATGTACCATCTTTATAAAAACTTGCTTAGGTGGCTTTTAAAAAAGGGTTAGGCAGATGCGTGTAGGACAGCATTATTCATGATAACTGGTGAACCTCTGTGTTCAGGTGGCAATTTCAATAGCTTGAGGACAAACAAGGATGGGTTTTTTGCTTTCACGCCCTGTGTGGCAGAAATCACCTGTTCTGGTCTGCAGGACCTATTCCACCCTGCCCTCCTAGGGGTTTCTCAACACCTGGAGGAGCTTTTCTTTCTCCCCAGGCCAGTAGCCCGCCACTACCACCTGACCTTTGTAAGGAATTACTCACTGGGAGGGTGAGGGCTCCAGGTTCTTTTTCAAGTTCTGAAGCCTTGCCTCTGTGTCTCCAGATGTGAAGGCTCGTAAAAATTTGGGGAAAAAACGTTTTTTCCCCCGTTTTTTTCCTGAAGCCTTTTTTGTTTTTTTCCGAAAAAATGGAAAAAAAAATTGATTATGGAACGTTTTATTTTAACATGATGAATAAAATATTTTAAGACCAGGTGTTCAAATATTTTCCAAATCTTTTCTAAAATATATATATATGGTATCAGATTGATATAATTTCTGTGCACTGAGGACAAGCAAGTCCTAGGTTACAAACTGAACTCTCCAATGCAAGAACAAGATGCATTTCTTCCTTTAGGAGGTGTGATTGTCAGAAGAAAATAAAAAAGTTTCAGTTTTGTTTTTGCATGTGGGTGGGTATTCTGTAATAATTGTTTGGATACACTATGTTTTTAATATGCTAGTTGTGATAATTTCATGCCAAGTAAAAATGTCAATAGTCATATTTTATGTTCCTAAAGTAACAGAATGACTTTCAAACTAGAAAAGACAAAAGAAATGCTAATGTAGCATTTTTTACAATTTTCCCAAAAATTTCCGTTTCCCCCCTGGAAAAAACGGGTTTTTTTCCGAGCTTCAAAATTTCTGGAAATTTTGCATCTTTTTATCCATTGCCCAGTGCCTGGTCACCACGGGGACAGTTTACTGCCTTGTGCTCCTGAAGGAATAGCCACTTGTCAACTGCTTGCCTTCCTCCTGGCATTCCTTTTAAAATAGTGTGTCCAAGATGGTGGAGGTCTGTGTGGTATAGAGAAACACCAGGGCTCTAGTCGGGGGGGAGCTCTCAGGTACGGAGCTCCGGAAGAGAACCTCTAGGGGGCGGGGCGGTCACGTGGTGAAGCCCCGCCCCCTTCTTTACCCCGCCCTCTGCTTCGATCCTCATTCCGTTTGGGAATGAGGATGAAGCAGGAGGGTAAGTAGCCGGGCCTTCTGACACACTTCCGGTGATGTCAGGGGGTGTGGCCTTCTGTCACTTCCGGTGATGTCAGGGGGCGTGGCATATGCAAATAAGTTATGCTAATGAGTTATGCTAATGAGCTCCGGCAGCTCTTTTTCTACAACAAGACCCCTGAGAAACACTACCAGCATTAAAGTTATAAAGTATTTACTAAAATGTTCATAAGCATAATTTTAGCACAGCACCAGATTTGAGCAAGGGATACAAAAAGAAGGGGTAAAACACAAATCCTCGGTCCTTCTCTCTTTACATGCACTATTAGATGTTGAAATAGGACAAGGCCTTTTGCTTAGAGTGTTACCAATCCCTGTTGAGTATTCATTACCTTGAAGCTGTTTCCAGCTCTTCAAGCGAGCACATGGTCAAAATGGCTGCCTTCCCAGAGGAGAGATTTGTGTGTGCTCATGGATGCAGCCCCCAAGGAAAAGAGACCACCTTCCTATTGCAAGGACTTTTTTTCATATCTGTTCCTCCACCCACTGACCTGGTCACACCAGGTCAAAGAGGCTTTTTCTGGTGATCTCCTTTCTAAAGATTCTCTAGTATGTAACATCTCCAGCTCTCTGTTTCCTGCTTGGGGAAGGGGATGAGCTTGACCCACCTATTATCTCTCCTGCTAGATCTGTTTAGCATTTGCATGAAGGAAAGCTGGAAAGCAGTTGTACTGATCCCCCCCCTACAGCCTGTTCGCTGCCTAGAGGCAAAAAACTGTTATAATGCAAGGTTGGAGGTTTGGCTTGTTGCAAACCTTTTAGGAAAAAAGGCATGTCTTCACACTGTCTCTAGGCGTCTGTGATAATACATGCAGTAGAGTAGCCATTTAGTCTGTTGCAGCAAAATAAAACAGGAGTCAGGTGGCACCTTGAAGCCTAACCAAGTATATTTCAAGATAAGCTTTTGTGAATCAGAACTCACTTCTTCAGATGCAGAGTACTCAGATGAATAGGACAAGAATACCAAATGAGACAGATCTTTGGTCTAATCCAGCAAGGCTGTCCTTGTGTTCTTGTGTACTTTCATGTTGTGAGCAGGGTTCCCTCTAAGCTGAGTTAGTGTGAGCTAGCTCAGTTTTTTAGCCTCCAGCTCACACATTTTGTCTCCACTCAGGAAGGAGGGCTCCAGAGCAAACTGATTTATGCAGGAGCCAAATCATCTGCTCACAACTTTGATGCCAGCAGCTCACCAAGTAGGATTTTTGCTCACAAGACTCCACAGCTTAGAGGGAGCATTGGTTGTGAGCAATTTGAAGCTAGAGAATCTTTCTGGCATGGCAGTATTGTAAGCTGAAGCCCCTGTCTGTTGTCTCTTGCCTTGAAAGTTGACTTTCTTCCTTTTTCATTATGCAGTTGCTGGAGTTTCCCCACCACCTCTTAGTTTGGTGTAGTGGTTAAGTGTGCAAACTCTAATCTGGGAGAACCGGGTTTGATTCCCCACTCCTCCACTTGCACCTGGCTGGATGACCTTGGGCAAGCCATAGTTCTGACAAGAGCTGTTCTTGAAAAAGAGCAGTTTCTGTCAGAGCTCTCTCAGCCCCACCTACCTCACAGGGTGTCTGTTGTGGGGGGAGGAGTGAAAGGAGTTTGTAAGCCGCTCTGAGACCCCTTTGGGTAGTGAAGGGCAGGGTATAAATCCAATCTCCTCTTCTTTATGCAGCTGTTGGGCAAACCTTTGCACATACTGTATGCAAGCAGAGGAGAGTAGCCATGGATAACAGCACCCTGCTTGCTTCAGAAAGCAGCTGTGGGTTCTGCAGACCTTAGGCTGCACGGTACACACGGTGACCCCCTAACGCTGTACAGCACTCCAGTACTGTGGAAGAGGCTCCCCTCTATCATAACACCGCTGTTTTGCCACAAGCCAGAGAGACCAGAGCCAGGAACCTGGGGTTCATTCAGTGCTGATGCTCCGTCCTACACTGCATTCTTGAACCACAAAGAAAGGCAGGATATAAACATTTTAATATTAGTAAATTCTCTGCAGCCAAATGTAGCATTAGGCTTCCAGAAAGGTGACATATACCCAGGAGCTACAGCCAAATTGCTGCTCAGTTAGATAATCTGAACTGCTGGTGTTTCTTTATTTGTGCCACAAGGTGGCAGAATATAATAAGAAGTTGCTGTCCGATAGAGAAGAGTGAAGGACTTCTGTTTCCAGTAATGCCCAAACCCTAATCCCATTCTAGAGATGAAAATCTACATGCAAGAGTTAAGATGCTTCTCCAAGGACCATTATAGACAAATTGTCGAAAATCTCTTAATAAGCAGACCTGTCAGTGGAATTGTTCTATGTTGAGGCATGCTGTTGATGACTCCTGCCTTGAGAATTCAGCTCTCATCTCTGCTGTCACAATCATCTAAATGCTACCTGTAAATCTCCTGAGATTCCCTAATTGAGAATTGCTGTCCAAGCAAACTTTTTCCCTTGAGAGTATTGTCTAGAAAGTGCAGTCTTTTAAATTTGTTCCTCATAGAAGAATAAATTTGAGGTGATCTAGTTTTTGTTGTAACCACTGAGAGCTGGATTTTAATGCAGAGTTGCAGCTGAGTAGAGTGATACAACCTCCTGTTTCAATTTCAAGTTGGCTGCCGGCAATAATAATAGAAATCAGCAATTATAGCTCCAATCCCACAAAATCAAACAGATAACATTGGAGCCCCCAAAACAGGACAATGGACAAATAATCTTATGCACCTCCAAAACCTTTTCACCTGATGCCTAAAAGTCAATGCTGTTTGATTAACTGCAGTGCGAGGTTGCACCTGGTAGGCTCATATTTTTACCAGGGCTCAGAAGAACTCTGCATTTATTGGTCAGCAGCCCTCCGTGCCATCTTGCAGTCCATTTCTTGACCTGCGAATATGTTCTAAAGTAGCTTGCAATATGAACATGGGAGTGTCTGATCAGACAAAGTTTGGTCCCACTCAGTTTGCTGAAACTGTGGAGCCCATCTAATGTAGTTGTTTCAATCCTGACAGATGGGTTTGTTCAAAGTAAGTCCCCTTTGGAGAGTGAATGAAAGATATCTTTCTAGCAGACATCTCAAAAACCTGAGATGACCAACGTATTCAGAGCAGTGTCCTTTCTGCCCATTTGAAATGCACACTGTGCAAATTCGTTGTTTTCATCTTAGAAAACTTACTATGGCACTGCCTCTAAGGAGAGTACTCCAGGAAGTACTCCTTAGCTGAGCAAAACATTGATTTATGAACCCTGTTTTTTATCCTATCCTTTTCCCAAAGTACATGGTTGTCTCTAAGTCAGCAGGTCTATTGATCTATTTACAGGGTTCTTACAGTTCTCAAATGTTATTGCTAAAAATGTGTATATAAAACAGCTGAACCCAGATAAAATCCAAAACTCAACAGGCAACAATACTCCCAGGATCCACAGAAATTCGCTATCAAAGTCATGACAGAAAATCAGCACCAGACAG